GCAGGAGAAGGGCTGCTGCTCCCTGGCAGTGCTGCTCTGCTGGGACTCTTTTCTGGCCCAGCTCTGCACAGAGGCTCCGAGCCTGCAGCTGCAGAGAAGTCAGAGAGGAAAGATGTGAGGCAAACAAGCCAATGCAGAGTTCTTTATTTAGCTTAAGCACACAGCAAGTACAATTCCAAATTTATACAGCTTCTAGGCTAGACTAGAAAGACAAACACTGAATTAGAAATGGTCTTTATATATATATAAATATATTTACATTTTTTATATCTATCTATCTATCTATCTATCTATCTTTATATGTGTGTAAAGATTTTTTGGTGTGAAGAAATTCTCACAAAAATAGCAACCCTACCAGGAGGGAAAAAATAGAGAAGATATGGTGGGCCTTTCCTGAAGTCCATAACAGGATTGGCCTTTAATGAGGTACATAACATGCAGAAGAAGGAGAGTTTATTGCTTCTGAAAAACACCCATTTGTCAGTTTCCTCATGGCATCCTTGAGCTCCTGGTTCCTGAGGCTGTAGATGAGGGGGTTCAGTGTCGGAGGAACCACTGAGTACAAGAGTGACACAATAAGATGCAGGGATGGGGAGGAGATGGAGCAGGGCTTCAGGTAGGCAAAGAATAAGGTACTGATAAACAGGGAGACCACGGCCAGGTGAGGGAGGCACGTGGAAAAGGCTTTGTGCCATCCCTGCTGAGAGGGAATCCTCAGCACAGCCCTGAAGATCTGCGCATAGGAGAAAACAATGAAAATGAAACAACCAAATATTAAACAGACACTAACCACAATGAACCCAAGTTCCCTGAGGTAGCCTGAGTGTGAGCAGGAGAGCTTGAGGATGTGTGGGATTTCACAGAAGAACTGACCCAGGGCATTGCCCTGGCACAGGGGCAGGGAAAATGTATTGGCTGTGTGCAGCAGAGCATTGAGAAAGCCAGTGGTCCAGGCAGCTGCTGCCATGTGGGCACAAGTTCTGCTGCCCAGGAGGGTCCCGTAGTGCAGGGGTTTGCAGATGGCAACGTAGCGGTCGTAGCACATGATGGTGAGGAGGGAAAACGCTGCTCTAAGAAAGATTATGTAGACAAAAACCTGTGCACCACATCCTGTGTAGGTGATGGTTCTGGTGTCTGTCCTAGTTAGAACAGCTGGGAGTGATTCGTCACTGGATGGGTGTAGCCCAAAACTTTGTATTCTATAGCCTTCCATGGCATTTCCCAGAAACTGTTATCAGTAGAGGCCTGCAAAATAGGAAGATGTTCCTGTCCTCATACCCTTTTATGGGATTCCCCGCTCTGAGGGAAGGACTGAGCATCCTCATACCGTTTTATGGAATTCCCCGCTCTGAGGGAAGGACTGAGCATTCCTGCCTGAACTGGAGAATATATAAACTTGGAGTTTCAGAACCTTTTCACCACTCGTGGGATCCAGAGGAGGACTGCAGGCCACCGCTCTCAACCAGACTGCAGGCCACTGCTCTTGACCAGACTGCAGACCACCACTCTCGACTGGACTGCAACCACCACTTTTCAACCAGACTGCAACCACCACTCTTGACCAGACTGCAACAGCACTCTCACCAACAGGTTTTTCCCTCTCCTTTTACTTTGGACTCAGGGGGGCCCAAAGAACACCACTCTGTTCATGCCCCAGGGTGCTGGGTTATATATTTGGGTTTTGTGGGTTAAAACCAATTGTTTGTCTGTATAATTGTCCTTATTGTGTTATTTTATTAAATTGTTATTCTGACTTATAATCTCTCTTTTGAGTTGAGTTCATTTCCCCTGCTGGTTTACCTTTAAACCAGCACAAGCAGACACCACAGTCTCTCCATCCCTGAAGCTCTGCCACATGAGGCCCTGCTTTACTTCAGCTTCTGCTGCTTCTTCATTGGTTGCCCTCAAGTGCTGAATGTAGAGTTTAGAAACCCGTGCCTGTGGGGAGGAGAGGTTGAGCAGCTGCAACCCGAGGCTGGTGTCCCAGCAGAGTCTCTAAGGATGATACCAGTGGCACTGGCTGGGGACAGCTGAGTGTGGAAGGCGTGTCCAGCCTCAAGCAGGGCCGTTGAAGTCAGTCCGGATGTCAGGCTGCAGCTGAAGCTGCCAAGGGTTGCTGTGAGGCTGAGGAGTCACTGGAAAGCTGTGGTGGCCACTTGCCCTGAAGCCTTTTGCCAAAGCGGGTGCAATTGTGCCCACAGTCTGCCCATTTTTGGTGTCCTGGTGGGTGTGGGTGCCTGGGTGAGGAGGCCCAGGCGTTGTGGGTGCTGCTGTTCCTGGACAGCCTCTGGTGCTGTTGTCTGTGGGGCTCGGAGCCGCTTGGGCAGCAGCAAGTGCACAGGCCTACCCGAGGAACCCAGCGCCCTGCCCGTGGTGGCAGCAGCTCTGCGGGCCTGGAGCTCTGGTTCAGGGGGGTGTCGGCCACAGCCCCATGGCCTGGGCAACCACGGGGGCCCGGGTTGGCCGCCAGCCCTGCCTGTACCACTGCCCCTCGCAGGCAGCACCCTGCAGACGTGCCCCGGTAGGGCCCCTTGGCCTCCTTGTCCCCAACCAGGCCAGCCTGGCCCCCTTGGGGGTGCGTCCACCCTGCTGCTGTGGCCCGGCCTCCAGGGCTTCTGCCACAGGGCTGGGAGATGCCTCGGGAAAGCACCAGAGCAGTCGACTGGCAGGGAAGGAGGTGGCTGCCTGGGGGCTGCTTATGACCTCTGCCCCCCAAGTCCTGGGGTTTTCCCTTCACCCTGCCCCTCGGGGCCTGCACCCAGTCTGTCCCCTCGCAGCCTTCTGCCACCCACCCCCTCACAGATTCCACTCAAGGCTTCCCACTCCCTTGTCCCATCAGGGCCTCCACAGCACCTCACCCCTTCCTGGCCTCCCAGCGCCCCCTCCCCTGTGGGTCTCCCCCAGCCCCACCAACCTGCCCGGCAGCGGCGCAGCCCTGAAGGAGCTCCAGAGGAGCCGCTCCAGAGGCACTTGGGAGCCCGGAGCAATCCAACCAGCAACACACAGGCAGGACACAGATGCTGCTTCCTGACTGGGGGAGGGCTTGTGACCATCTCCAAGGACAAGGTCCTCAGGGTTCCCCACAGCTCCAACCTCTGCCCCTCCATCTTGCTGAAAACGTTGAGGCTCCAGCAGAACCACCAAAGGCCAAGGGGCTTCTGCCCACTTTTGCTGGCACGCTGCACAGCGGGGCAAGTGTTGCTGAGAACAAGGAACCCTTTTCCCCTCTTCCCCAAGGCCCTGTGCACACTGGGCACCAAAAAAACTCCTGGGCTTCTCTATGTGATAACATGGATGTAATATTCCCATGCTGGGCTCAAAGGAGGCGCTTGCAGGGAAGAGGCATCTTCCCCACAGGCTCAGGTGTCCCCAGGAGATGGAACTTCCCACATCAGTTCTCCACAGAGCGTCAGCAGCACAGGCAGACACTGCCCTGCGGAAAAGGCCGGGCCTGCCACGCCCTGCACAGCCAGTCTTGGAGCTGCTGGAATCTGGAGTAGGGAACCGTCTGTACAGCTCTCAGCACATAGCAGTGTTGAATTGCCAGGCCTGCCATCTGTCATCTGTCACGCCTCTACGGGCTGGAAGAGGTAGGAATGGAGACTACCAGAATGGGAAGAATGGAGTTCTCCGTACAGTTCTGATGATTTGGAGCGTTTCACGTGCCAGGTTTAAGACGGCAGGGTTGTCATCAGTCATGCCTTGAAGGGCTGGAAGAGAAAGGAAAAGAGCCAAGGTGAGAGACCAGGGGTGTGGAGACGCGAGGAACCCCTCCTACCAGGGCCATCCCAGCCAGCTCTTACCATGGCCAGGAGGGAGCAGGGTCCAAGGGGATGAGCTGGAAAGTGCCCTCACTCACCTTGGCAGATGAGCTGCAGTTCTGGCTGCTCCTGCTTCATGGACCTGGCGGCGATCCCTGGGAACACAGAACCTGTCAGGCCCCAGAGGCACAGGTCCCCCACAGCGGCACTGCCAGCCCGGCCACACGGCCTCCTGGCCTGGCAGGGCTGAGCCCGGGGCCTTCCCGCATGGGGACGCCCCAGGGCTGGGCTGGCACAGGGCGGCAGCAGGCGTCAGGCCACTCGGGGCTCCACATGCCCTGGGCCGCATCCTGCTGCCGCTGCAGCAGCCGGGGCTGGGGCCGAGCCGCAGCGGGGTGGGGAGGGACCCTGGCCTTGTGGTTCACCCAGAAACTTGATGGCCAGCTTTCGCAGGGGCTCCTCTGGGCTCTCCAGGTACGGCAGGGCCTGGCGCACGTACTGGCCCACTCGGTTCCTGTCCTTTTCCAGCTGCAAAGAGCACCAGGGTACAGAGGGGAGGCTGGGTTCAGGCTCTGCCCCTTGGCCGGGCGCTCCCTGCCCCCAGCACGGGGTTCCCCTGCCTGCAGAGCCCTGAGGCCCGTCCAGCAGCCACTGGGACCAGGTTTGGGGGGAGCAGAGGGCTGGGTGCTCCCGGGGAGCCAGGGGCTGGGGCTTTGGGGCCGTCCTTACCAGGCACTCGGGAAACCTCCACGGCTGCTCCATGGTCACCAAGTGCTCAAGATCCCTCCACTTCAGGAACCTGGTTGCACCAAACAGTGCTCTCCGAGAGGCCTGCACAGCAACAGAGAGCGGACCATGGCACCGCAGCCCAGGGCACAGCACCCGCATCCCTGCGCCAAGGCCAGGAGGAGGCTGCAGGTGACCATGGGCCAGGGCAGGAGGCACAACAGCCTCCTGCCATGGGGACACCAGAGCCCACGAGTCCTCACCTCTGCCACACGCTGGTTCTCATCGTACCAGTTGAAGTAGAATGGCACCAGCCTCAGGTACACGTGTGACTTTAGGCTCTTGCTCCTCTCTGTCACTTCCAGCACCTCCCGGAAGAGGAGCATGGAGAGTTGCTGCAACTGGTTGCGCTCCTGGTGCAAAGGAAGAGCAAAAGACCTCAGCACTGGCTTCTCCAGGCCCACCGGGGCACAGGCCTGAAAAGGCACTGGGCCCAAAGTTTCCTGGCAGCACTCAGTGCCCACGATGAGGGGCACAGAGCCTTACGTTGTCAAAAAGTGGTTGCAGCGCCTCAAGCAACTTCAGGGCAGTTGGGTTGGATATTTGGATGATTTTAAAGTGGAGCACATTGATGACCACAGAGAGAGTCATCTGAACCGCGTCTGTGTCTGCATCCTGCAGTAGCTCCAGGAGGCTTTCATTCAGGCTCCAGATGCTCTTAGCCTGTGTGGAACACAATGCTGGGGTGCAGCCCCACGCTGTTGCCGCGGGGCCCAGAGGCCAAAGGTGCGTCCCAAAGGAGTCGGGCAGCTGAACGGGGAGGAGGAGAGCTGGGAGCAGCTGCCACAGTTGCCAAAGGCCACCCAAGGCCAAGCTACTGCCTTGCACAGCCCCACGCTGCCGACCCGGCTTCAGCCCCTGCCCCCTGCTCACCATTGCGGGAGCCTTGCTGATCACCAGTAGGCCTCGAAGCGCCAGGAGACCCCTCTCCGGGCAATGGCTGCGCAGGCGCCTTGAAATTATCTGCAGGACGCTGGACCCACATTGTCTGGGGTTCAGGCAGTGCAGGACCTGAAAGGCAGAGAGCAGTGACGGGGGGCCCGGTCAGCAGGAGCCCGGACCCGCCCGGGGCTGGGCCCAGGCAGCAGCACAGGGTGCAGGCACCGTCCCGGGCGGCTGCGGCTGTGAGAGGGCAGAGAGGGGGAGGCAGCTGGGCCAGGCAGCGCTCGCCGTCAGGCTCACCTCCACCAGGAATGCCAGGGCAGGCAGTTCCCACAGGGGTTCTTCCCTGCTGAGCCCCTGCAAGGGGGAATAAAGGTGCCACAGACCCTGAGCTAGGTGGGCAAAGCTCTCCTGGGACTGACTCACACAGGTCTGGTCTTTGGCCACCAGCCCGGGAGGGGACATGGGCGTTTTGGGAGGTGGCTCCTCCTGTGCAGCCGCCCCTCTCCGCCTTTTCCACTCTGCTCAGCCATCCCTGGCTGCCAAGGCCCTCTGGCCCAGGAACACGGGCACTGTGTGGGGTGGCCTGTGCACAGAGCAGAAATGATGGGAGCAGTGGGGAGAAAGGGTTCTCACCTGGCCAGCAGACCCACTGCATAGTGGTGGCTGT